ATTTTAAATATTTTAGATTTATAAGATCATTTAAGGTATCTCTAGTAGTTAGTTGTATCCAATTTTTAATTTCTATCTTGTACCTTGATAATTTGGTAATGTTTTTGATTTCATTAGGAACTAGATTATATAGTCTAGAACTGAAGTAATCTGTATTTCTTTGACCTATTGTCTTTGACGACATGTTTGTAGTGATATGATATGCTCGTGTTGGGTAAGGGTGAGTTCTTTTATTTATTTTTTTTGTAAATATGCTGACTAATATTTTAAAGCGGTATAGCTGAGAAATATCTAAAAGTTTACTTTTCTTGAAAAGTAAGTTACTTAAGAACGTCCTTTTTCTGGAATAAATAATTTTTATGTACCATTTTATGATTGAATTTAGATTTTGAAAGTGAGACTCTCCGACTCCTCCCCAGCCCAGGATTCCATATGTCAGGTGAGTTTGTACCAACGAGAAATAGAGTGTTCTTAAACTTTCTATGCTCAGGCACTTTTTTAAATATTTAAATTTTGATAATAAACCCCTGAGTTTATTAATAATAATTTTTATTTGCAGATCCCATTTTAGATGCTTGTCTATTGTAATGCCTAGATATTTAATGGAAATAGCTTTGGGGATTTGGATGTCATCCACATTTAGCGATCCAAGATTAGATAGGTTGGAGGCATATGAGGTAAAGGGTAAGTAATGTGATTTTTTTGGATTAAGCGTTAATTTATTAAGTTCAAACCATGACTTAATTTTTTTCAAATTCATTTTAGCTTTATTTTTTATTTCTGCCTATGTGTCTGCCTGATACATAATAGCGGTGTCATCGGCAAAGCTCATAATATTTCCCTGAGTTTTTTGAGACATTAAACTATTTATGTAGAGTGTGAATAGCACTGGCCCAAAAACAGTTCCCTGTGGCACTTCAAACGAAACCGTTCTTGGGCCACTACTCTTCCCATCAATACTTACATATTGCACTCTGTTAATCATGTAAATTTCCAACAAATTATATGCAATTACCTAATCCCATATTGCTCCAGTTTCTTTAACAATTTTTTATGGCACACCGTGTCAAAGACTTTTGAGAGGTCAAGAAATACGCAAAGAGTTGGCGTTTTGGAGTCAATTGCTTTATAAATAATAGATGTAAGTGAATATATTGCATCTTCCGTGGATTTTCCCGCGACACTGAAGCTAGTGGCCTAGGCACACATTGGCCAGCAAGAAAGCAGTGGAGTAAAATTTGATCGACTCCGTAAATAAATCTGAACGTAAATATTTGGACTTTTCACGGTCCAGATTTTTTCTAGAGGCCCTTAAGAACTTAAATAAATCAAATTCGAGAGGAGAGGAGGCCAAGGATCAAGTCGAAGGACATGGAATCCTTAGTAAAATTTAATCGACTCCGTAAAAAAAACTGTACGTGAATTTTGCATTTTTCACGGACCAGATTCTTTCTAGAGGCCCTCAAGCATTTAAATAAATTGAATTAGTGAGGAGAGGAGGCCAATGACCGAGTCGAAGGACATGACATCCTTAGTAAAATTTCTTCTCTCCGTAAAAAAATCTAAACGAGAATATTTGAACTTTTCCCTAAAACTATATTGATGTGGTGATAACACTTCATGCCTATTGAGGAACTTTAGTAGTCTTAATTTAATAATTTTGTTATAAATTTTGGAAAACACAGAGAGTAAAGAGACAGGTCTATAATTTTCTATTTTGCTTTTGTTTCCATTCCTAAAAAGAGGTTTTATTATACCTATTTTTAAACAGATTGGATATTCCTGTTCCAGAAAACTTTGACTAATGAGATGGGTAAGTGGTCGATCAATGTCTTCATTTATTTCTTTTATTGTTTCTGCCCTAATACTATCCCAACCTGAAGATTTGTTTGATTTTAAATATTTAATAATTTGTTTTACTACATTCTCATTGGTATCTACAAGATATATAGTACTTTCCACCCTGTTTATATCTTCCCCATAATTTTGAGGAACTTTGATTTTATTTGTGTATTTTTCACCAAGGTCACTATAGTAGTTATTAAAGATATTTGTAATTTTCAATGGATCTGTTATTTTTTCCCTGTTCTCCCCTTGTACAGTATCAATTTTTGTTTTAGGTATTTCTTTGTCGTATAATGTATTAACACATTTCCATAAAGAAGCTGATGATATTATGTTTTTATTTATTATTGTATTAATTTAATTTTTTTTAGATATTTTAACTAGATTTGTTATTTAATTTTTATAATTATTGTAAATAGATTTCAGTGCTAAATTATTTGGATTTTGTTTTATTTGTGAAAATATACCATTCTTGCCGTTTATAGATTTTAATATACCTATTGTAATCCAGGATTTTCTTATTTCACGTTCATTGTTCTTCAATTTTACAGTTGTTGTATTCTGTTGTATATATTTTTTCTTATTATTTCTTTAATAAATGTTTCAGTGGCCAAATGAACATCATTTGATTGACATATTGTTGACCAGCTTTCGTTTCTTAAGACCTTTTTTAAGTTTTTATAATTCATGAAACTTTTATAATATTGACTGTTTGATTTCTCGTTATTTTCTTTGGATTTTGAGGTAAAGGCTTCTATAATTGGAAAGTGATATGTAATGTCACTTTCAAAAATAAATGATTTAATATTGGTAACACAACTGTCGATATTTTTTATGAAAAAATTATCTAGACAGGTTTTGCTTGCAGGTCTTGTGGTTTGATTAATGTAAGAAATGTGGCCATAAGAATTTAAAATATTTTTGTACTCTTCTATATGTTCTGAATCATCTAGTAGGTTAAGAGGAAGCGTTAGAGTCGAATGGTTTGTTTACGAAAATACAAGAAAATCTGCAGAAAAATTCAAGTAAATAATATGGCCTTTTGCCTAAAAGAGATTTGAACAAAATTGTTTAAAAATAATACATATATGTCTTAAAACACAGACATCTAATTAATTCGTCACCTTCCTATTCACCATTAAGAAGAGAGGATGTGTCAGAATTCAAGCAAAATTTAAATCTTACGTTTTTTGAAACATAAATTGTCTATGCATAATAAACAAATTTTTGTTTTCTGTTTATAGCGTTCATAGCGAATAATAAATAATAATGTTAATTCGTATAGATATTTTTCATTATTCACAGGTATATCTATATTATTTAATGGTTGTAGATCATATGTTTACCTTTTCAACTGTCAAAAAATTTCCACTTAAATATCGAGGCGCCTCGAAAAAATTTCCGGAACTGTTTTTAGTTGCCATGGTAACTAGTCAAAATTAAGGCATCTTATTAGTTGAAAAGTAGAGGTGTGAAATATTCAATTAATGATTCAGAAAATCCATCCAAATAAATAAAAACCCAGCAAAATTTTGGAAAATTTTGTACTTATGAGTCTCGTTATCGAAGCAGATTTTGTTGACATATTATAAGTAGAGTTAAAACGTATATTTAACATAAACAATGATTTAATTTAAGCTTACATTTAGGGGGAATATTATAAATTAAAAAATATCAATCACTGGCCTAACTAGTCATTTAATTACCTAGTGCCGCTAAGAAATATACGCATCAATAGACAAACGAGAATGCTGTAGAGGATCTCAATATTTTCTATGGTATTTTTTTAGCTAAAAACTACTTTTAAAGATTTTTATGAATTTCTAACGACTTGCCATACTTTCGCCTGTACTTGTACTGGAATTGATAGACCTCAGCGGAAATCAATGTTGTATCCAAGACTAGCTGACCGTAACTATTTAGCGTTCGAAAAATAGTGTTAATTATCTTCTAGGTCTATTTGTTACCGCTTTAACTGTACTATAGCTCAATCCTTAATCAGTCTCTACGATAAAAATTCATTGGAAAAGATGTTTAATTAGTTATCTTTTGAAAGAGTTTATTTTTTTAATCAAAATGTTTTTCTAAATAAATATCCGATTGCGATTGCGTGTTTTTTTTAATCTCCTCGTATGTTTTTATTAATATTTCTATACTATAATGAAGAAACAAATTTTTAGCTACCCAAGACTTTAGTTAGCCCCTGAAACACGGGGCTGGGTACAGCCCTGTCTAAAATAATAATTTTGCACCATTTTGCAAATTTTTAAATGAATTTAGTTTAGTTCCTTTAGAAGTATATTATCAGTTTGTTAAAAATACTATTTATTTGTATACAGGATGTCCCATTAAGAATAGGATATAAAACAAAATATTTTCTGATGAAAAATAAGACAATTAAACGAAAGATGGTTGGGTAAAATGTTATTCTTTTCCAAAAGTTGAAAATTCAATAATAATTAATGGCTCCATTTTTTGTATTACCCAATATAATTTTTTTTAATTCTGTAAACGTTTTTGATATCATAAGATACATCTATCAGCAAAAATATAAGTAAAAACACGTTTCCAGTGGCGTATGGTATGTCTTTAAACTTAATCAGACTATATTTTTTTAAATAAATCATAAACTCTTGTAGGAAATTTATTAAAAAATGCAAAGTTTAAAATGTTTAAAATAAATGAAAATAAATATTATCCATGTTAGAGAGTGCATATCTCACTGTATAAGTTCTTAAAAATGATTTATTTAAAAAAATTAAAAATTTTAAAATTATAGTCCAAAGTAGTAAAATTTAAAAGGTACGAAGGCATTACTTACCCATACCCTACGCTACTGGAAAAGTTTAATTGTTAGTAGGTGTATCTTAAGACACAAAAAACATTTGCTAAATATAGCAAAATTGTACTAAATAATAAAAAAATTATTTCCATTAATAATTATTGAATTTTCAACACTAACCCCTGTATTTCGGAAACGAGTATCATTTAACCTAAACGTGTTTAAACATCTTATTTTTAATCAGAGACCTTCCAGTTCATCTATGTCCTATTCTAAATTAAACAACCCCGTATTAAGTAGTTTGGTTTTAAAACGAATAATCTTTTTTTTTTTTTAAATAATAGATTAGAGTTAGTAATGAAGTGAAACTACGTCACAGATACGGCCATGTTTGCTGAGAAAATGGCATATTTATTTGATCGAGACATTTATAATACAAGTACATTAATTTAATTGACATAAATGCTATTACGTTTTCACATTTTTAAAAAATTAATAATTCAACATAATTAATTACCTTAGTGACAACATCCTGCTGATAAATATAGAGTTACAAATTAACATATTGATGTGAGCAAAGGCACTAATTGAAGATTTAACCACAGGGAGGTTAGAGAGAGACGAACTCCGGGGTGAGCGGAACGCATTGGGGCGGCGGGGGAGGGAGCAACTCAGTCACTACAGGTGCGGTTACAATGCCAGCCGAAGCATCAGGAAGCGACAACGTAGAACTTCCACCTGCCGTCACTCTAGGTCCCATGTTGTCGTAATGTGGTATGGCGTACGGCCTCCTCGGTAACGTGGCCATACCATGGTAGATGGGCTTCGGCCTATGGGGTAGATCCAACAGATCTGGACACCTAGAAACATCTACAGAAGGATCTCTACTCACTGAAACCGAAATAAAAATATTCCCGTAAGCTCCAGCAGGAAGAGTGCTGCTAGAAAATTCAGGAGGTGGAGGATACACCGCTAAAGGAGGTAACGGTGGCTCCCTTTCTATCGTAATATGCACTGGAGGATCCATCAAATTTAATTGCTCAGGACCTAGTGCCTCGCAACTTTCAGTGCCGCGATCAGTCGTTGTAGCTATACTAACATCAAGCAGCTTTTTTTCTTGGTCGGTAAAGCTGACGCTAGATTTTAAATGTCTCCTTTGTCCAGAGTTTCTGTTCCTAACACAACACACTGCTATCACTGTTATTACAGCGGAAAATCCCACCGTTATCGTCACTATCACTAAACCCCACCACACGATTTTGGTGTCTGATTTACTCAGAGTCGTCGCTGTAACCACTTCCGGAAGCACTAAACTTACATTTACAGAGTTCGAGTCTAAAATGTTTTTCGCCACGCAGGTGTATCTACCAACGTCTGTATCACTTACGTTGTAAATACTTATATTGGCCCATTTGTCCAAAAGTCCTTCTTCCGCTTCTACAACCAACCAGGTGTGATTGATCGGGTTACCTTCGTAGAGCCAAGAAACCTGAGGTTCGGGATCGCCTAGGATATGACAACCGAAGCTTACGTTCCCTCCAGCTTCAGCTTGTACTTGTTGTTGAGGATATGCGAAGACTTCGGGTGGACACGCGAATTCTTCGGAAGGAACTTCTTCCCATAGCCTTTCGCTTAACGTTGGAGGTTCTGAGCATATTAAAGAAATTGAGTGAAGTTTACTGGCTAAAAACCAATCTCTGAATCCTCGCAATTTACAGTCGCAGCTCCAAGGATTTCCATCTAGGGCGAGGGTTTTTAAATGAGCAAAATTCATGAATGTAGCTTCGGAAAGATTTTGCAGTTGATTATATTTTAAATTGAGAGTTTCTAGAGCAGTGAGATGTATAAAGGCTTCTTTGTTTATAACTTCTAAGTGGCAACCCTCCAGTTCTAACGTTCTGAGATGAGGTAATGTAGGAAATTGAGATTTAATAAGTTGTTTAAGTGGATTGCCGTTTAGGTATAGTATTCGTAATCTTTCGTTCCCATGAAAGGTATCAGGATGCAAGGAAGTTATCTCGTTATCCGATAAATCTATTTCTACTAGAATAATAAGATCCTTAAACGAATCTCGATGAATTTCTGTAAGCCCGGCGCGTGATAAGTATATTCTTTGTAGATTAATTAGACCGACGGATTTAAATGCGGCTTTGGGTAATTTGGTAATCAAGTTTCCCGAAAGGTCTAGAACCTGCATGCCTTCGTCTAAAGTACCGGGTATTCCTGTGAAACCGGCTTTTTTGCATAGCGCGGTTTTTTTGCCGGAACTCCAAGTGCAACGGCACGGACTAGGGCAGTCTGTCCAATCCGGAGCTGCGAGGGCCAGCGCCACGGAAAAAACTAACAGGGCGAACGTGGCCATTCCTCGTCATCTCGAAAATAAACGTTTATCGAAGCACAACATCATGCCGAGGCGATTCAAAGTCACTATTAACTCACTAAAAAAAGTTTTGTTCGGTCGAATTCCGGATACGCGGAAGTAAACAGAGTCGCGAGTCGTGTCGATGTACTGCGGGTTATTTTCGTTTTGTTCGTACGAATCGGAACGTGCGTTTGGGTAGCCGGTAAGTAGCAGGACAGCGTGTCTGCTCTTCGGTTCAGTTCACCGCACTATGATATTCGTCCGCAGCTTTTGTGGGTCGACGACGGCGCTTCAAGTTGTTGCGTCGGCGTCGGTATATATTCGAGATGCGCCGCCCAGCCCTATGCAGCAAAGGACCTGCTGCTTCTAGCGCCTCTCGCCGATTAATGTTCTGATTTTCGCCGGATTTATAACTGATTCGATATTATTTTTCATGATTTGTGGTTAGCGCTCGATATTTTGTGGTCGAAAACTTCATTTACCGGAACGAAGGGGATGAATGGAACGCCCTTAGGACTGATAAAGAGGAATTACCTCTCTTCAATATTACTTCGCTTCACCCCTATAAATATGCCGCTGAACGTTAAATCCAATAGGGTAAAGTATACTAATCAAAATTGGTGACTATATAAAACTTTGTTAACTCTCAAATATGTTTTTGTATAAATACGGAGTCTTCAAGAATACTTGTATACCAGCGTATTTCTCACTACGATTTTCCTTCAGGGGCTTAGTAATTAAGGCTTTTACAAAAAAATACTAGCAAGTAAACAAATGTAAAAATAGATGTAGGATTTTAGTGGTGTCCTGTTTTTAAATGAATTTTATTATCTAAAAAACAGCAGGAGGGTCAAGGGTGGTTTCACATAAATTTGGTCCAGATCTAGGTAGTTTTAGCGATAATTCTTTACCACGTTGTCCGATTTCTATGATTCTTTTTTTGTTAGAAAGAGGATAACTCAAGAGTTATTATATATCCCAGCAAACATTTTGGTGTAATTTGACGTCGATACTACCTAAATTATATATAATAAATTTGGTCGCAAAATTAGATTTAACCATAATGAAGTAAAATTTACGTTGGCTCGACGTGGATTCGACATAAGTGGAGAATAAGACGACGTCGAAATTTGGTTTTATTTACCAAAATAGGTAGAATTACATCTAAATCCACATTGTAGTAGCCCAGTACGTTTGGTTAGTAATACCTTTCTAAGGAAATTTGACGTCAGTATAACGTTAATTCGACGTTGATTTAACTAAGTTTAGGTAGAAACTACCAAAATATTTGCAGATGTGTAGGAAGAGAAAGTTTATACTTATTTGGTATTTTTATCTATATATAAGTAGAAATATTGTAACAAGTCACCAACACAACTAAAACATATACCTAATTCACATGAAAGATTGAAAATAAATAAATGTCGTTGACAAAAATATATGTAATGTAATTGCGGTGAATATACAGTTCACGCTTGTTGAAATTAATGCGAAGAAAATTTTGTCGTGCATGTTAACAGTTCTACTTAGAAAAATAACAATGCCCTTCCAAAATACTCTCTAATTAAAAAAATATAAGAAAAAAATATGATCGTGTAAAAAAATAATAATAATATTATGAGCTAAAACTATGTTACGTTTGTTGTGTATCACTTTAGAAAATCAATAATGTTTCATTTTTCGGTATTTTCATTCGTATGTTCTAGTTATGGTCATTTTAAAAATTTAAAATTTGGAATCGTACTTCAATTACGTTAAGAAAATATGGCGTATTGGGAGAATTCGACCTAAAAGTTATTATGACTAAGGAAATCTACGTATTTTACAAATACCTTTTTACTAAGTTGAATTAACTTCAATTTTACGACATATTAGTTAACTTTACCTATTTAAAGAAATAATAACTTATAGGTTTTATAAAAAATTTACCTATAGGTAAATATAACATATTTAGGTCACGTTGTTCTGCACTTGAGATTTTAGACGTTTCACTTTACGATAAAAATCGGAAGTATAACAATATGATTTATTATTTTTCGAACTCATTTTATTAATTATTTTTCGCACTCATTTAAAGCTCTATCTACACCACACGTAAATTAAGATTACGACTGTAATGGTTTTTTTAAAATGGCCGAAATTCTTAAGAATAATGACGAAGACAGTAACTAAACAACCTAATTGTTAAAATAACCTAAATAATATAAATTTTACAAATAGGTGATGTATGACTCTTTTTAAATTGGTGGTTTTTAGTCGAATTTACTTTGTGGTAGATTTTTCAGGTAATTGCTACAACAAAGTTAATAAATATTTCTTCAAGATGACTTATAGGTCAACTAAATGAGTATTCGACTATTTGGTTGAAATTAGGTAGATAAAGAGGTAGAATTTTGCTACGATCTCGACCTAATATTACTTTAAAGGAGAGTAAATAAAAGCGGCCAAATAGGTTACTATGGAGGCATAAAATTACGTAGAAATTTTAACCAAAATCTACCTAGTTGGATATTCTACTAAAAGACGATTTTTAGTTGCCAAACAGGTAGATATTACCTAAATATGGCACCTAATTTTACTACAAAGGAAATTTAACTTTGAAGTAATTATTGGTTATTTTTTTTAGTAGTTTTTCCCTTGTTGATATGGTTAAAGTTACTTTTAAGCAGATTTGTGTAAAAGGTAGATTTCTTGGTATAATTTACGTAAATTTAAATATAAATTAAAACCGTTTGGTAAATTTACATTAGAGGTATATTTTTCTAGTCAATTTTACGTAATAATTACCTCAATAAGTTAATTCGTCTTTAACAAAGTCGAGTTATAACTAATGTTATAGAAAATATTTGCTGGGATACCAGTGGCCCAGCCAGGGGGATGGTCTGGGGCCTGAAATATTATAAAACATATGGGTGCCTAACAAGACATTTACATTTCCATTGGAAAAACATGGACAACATAATCGTAAATTCAATTATATTTGACTAAAAAGATTTTCATGGCTTGCCTATTCAAAATAACTTGATAAAGCCTTTTGCAAATGCTTCCGTCCTAGCAAGAAAGGTCTTATCTGAACATTTTTTGTTTAGAAATAATCGAGTTTTTGACTATTTTTGGCAGACATATATTTGTTATCTTCTTTTGTGAAATTCTTTTACGTTTTGTATCTGTACGATGCAAATAGGACATTTAGTTTTGGTATTAAGACAAATTGTAGACAATTGCAAAAAGATTGAAAAAACTGCTAAATTTGCAGATAGGACTTTTCTTGTTAGGACGGCAGAATAATGCGTACTGTTTCCATCTCAATTTGCAGGTCAAAGTAATAGTCAAAGCATAGGAAGTTTATGTAATGAACCGTTTCGAACATGGAAAAAGGCACTGAAGAAATTTGAATATTATAATTCAACAAACTATCACAAGTTTTCAGTTCTTCGCGCTGATAACTTAAAAAAAAAAAAATTAATCGTCAATGTATAAGATTTTAGACAAAGCATCTTCCAAAACAGCTCGTAAAAATCGACTTAAATTAACGCCCATAATAAAAACTATTATTTGACAATTTTTTAAGTCAAAACGAAGGCAACTTCAGAAATTTGTTTAGAGTTAGGATCGATACAGGTGACCAAGTTCTCAGAGAATATTTGGAAACATCCGGTACGATCTGTTGAAGCTGGGATATTCAGAACCTCATTCTAGAAGATTGTAATAATATTTTAGTGAAGAAACTTTTAAATGAGGTTAACGCGGCAAAGGCTTTTGTTGTATTGACGGATATTTCAAATGAAGAGCAGCTAACTTTGTGCGTAAGATACGTTTACACTAAAACTGAGAAAGTATGCGAAAACTTCTTACAGTTTGTTGAGGTAACAGCAACAACAACTGGTACTTTATCAGCTTCAAGTATTCTCACGTCATTAGAATTCCTTGGAATAAATTTAAAATATCTTTGTTGTCCAGGATATGATGGTGCAGCAGTAATGTTTATCCATATAAAAGGTGTTAAAAAAATAGTATCTGATAAATTCTCAGCCACCACTTATGTTCACTGTGCTTCTCATAATCTGAATCTCTGCCTGTCAAGCTCTTCTTATGTTGCCAAAATCCGTGTATAAAAACTTGTCTCTAATATCGGAAAATTATTTGTATACTATTTTATTTTGTAGGTTATTATAAAACTGTTAGATTACCCTGTATATTTTAAAATCCTATGGTTATATAGGGGAAAGTGCCCTATATGGTGGCATAATGTCTATGATGGCATACTACCTAAATTTCTAGATCCATTCAATTTATGCGTGATGTTTGTGTATGTTTAGTTGATTTTAGTAGTGCTAAGTTAATTTCATGCCTCTCTAACGTGTTTTGTTTAATTTAAGGGCTAAATGATAATTTGGTAAGTATCGAAGTAAAATAATAAGTTAATTTGCACCCTATATCTACTTTATAATGCTAGAATCGTTTAGGGTGATATCATTTAGTGTGTTGTATTAGTAGGCAAATATTTTTTAGGTTATGTTTACCTATAAAAATTTGAGACGTATTTTTGTAAAATACAGATGATTTAGTATGATGGCATACATACCAGGTTCCTATGATGGCATGGTGTGCTGTCGTAGGAAATAATATTTTACTATCTTTAAAGTACCTGTTTTTTTTTTTGTCAGAATGATGTAATATGTCATTAACTAAGAAGCAAAGGCAGAAGTGGGATGAACAAGCAATGGAGGAAGCTCTCAGGAATATAAGGAAGAAAAAATGGGCTGACTTTTATCCGCAAAAACGTTTAATATCCCGACTACAAAAGTTGGCGCAGATTAGCTAAAAATAAAGAGGGAGAGAAGGGGAATTTGGGAGGAAGGTCAGTGTTTAGTACTATGATAGAAAATCAGCTAGCAAATCATATTTGCGACATGGAGACAAGGTTTTCTGATCTGACCACCAAATCAATATAAAACTTAGTTTACCAGCTCATCGAAGAATATCAAGTTAGGCATAATTTTAAGAAATGGCTGAAAATAATTGGGTACATTTGTATGTGATATCTGCATGTAAACTTCTTTGGGTATTTTTAAGTTTTGTTTTATAACGTTTTTTACTTAATAAATAGTACAGTTTGAAAATAAATACAAATATAATGGGGTATGCCATCATAGGAAACTACTAATTTTATTTGGTTGGTAGTATTTTTCCAAATAATTTCCCATTCTTGATTTTGGGGGGCAGGTATGAATTATCCCCCATACCTCCATATTCTAATAAAATCTATTTTTATCCATTTTTTATAGTTAAGTATGTCATCTACTACCTAATGTAATGTTATTAACTTACTCAATAGTTACTAAAGAAATACAAGGGTTTTGCGCATTAGACACAAGCGTAGACTGCGTATGAACTGCAATAACTGCTTTT